CATAAGCTTTGCATCTGAGGGTTCTGCTTCTGGGCAAACCCAAATAAAACACTTGCCTCTCCAGACTCCAGAGGCTCTCCTCCAGTCTCCCTTCTTTGAGATAAAGGAGTCATATCCATAAACATTCTCGCAGTTTCTCCCCCACACTCTGAACTTGGGCAACCCCACTTTGGAGACCACAGAATCAGAGACGTTGGCCTTCATCCACATCTGTCTGCTTCTAAGCTAGTGAGAACAGTGAGTGGGCCCACCTCCCACCTGTATCCCACACATCTACATCCAGGCCACGCGCAGCAGGGCTCGCAGACCTCTCCGCATCCCCTGGCTCTCTTTGAGTTTCTTTCTGTTCTTTAATTGTGGTTTGTTTTCTCACTTCAAGAGCTTCGCTATTCCCAATGGGAGAAAAGCAAAATTCTCTCCTCCCTCTCTCATAACCCTCTCCTTTGGGGCTTACAATTCCATTCAGGGATGTTGGTTGGCCACCCACTGCATGCTGGGGGTGGGAGTGGAGGTGCCTGGGGGACCAGGAGAAGAAAGGCCTACTCCAGACCAGCCTCTGGTGCTCTCACTGATGTGCTGATCCTTTGTCCTTCTGTCTCTCAGTTCATAGGAATACTAGAATGTCTTTAAAGCAAAACCTTTTCTATCTCACCTTGATCTTCTCACATACCGGGCTGGGTTTGAACGGGGTAAACTGGAGACAGTCACAGACCAGAAGCAGGCCTGGGTGTGCCCAGCAGGGGGCTTGCCCAATCTGCAGTCTCCTGGCCTGCAGGGGCTGCGGCTGTCACATTGTTCTGTGCAGGATAGTGCTCCTGTCTCAGCTCTGCACTAGCCACCTCGGCCCCATTGTTTTGCATGGGTGGGTGAGGCCAGGGGGAGGATTGTGCCTCAGACCCACTAAACAAGGTGGGGGAGAGAGGATAATGCTGGGCTGTCTCAGGGGAAGTGGGACTGAGCCCGACCCCTGTGTGGCCTATGAGACAGGGTAGCCCCTCCGTACTCCCCAGCTGGCAGCACCAGTGTCACAGACCCCAGGCAAGGGTACCTGACCTCTTTCTCCAAGAATCCCCTCCTGTGGGGAGGGTGGATCCTGTGAAGGGAGCTTGGCTTGGGGCTTAGGCCAGATTTCCCAGGTCTGGTTCTGAGGAGGCTGCAGGAGCCAGCAGGTAGGCAGGACTCAGGACTGCCTGATATCTGCCAAGAGGGATGGGTGGGAGAGACCAGCATCATTGGTTTACTCTTGGCCTGGGAAGTACAAGGGTGTCTGTGTAGAGGGTGTGTTGAGTGGTCTAGGGGATCGTATTATTGCCCAGCATCCACCCTTCCTCTCTTAAGACCTTTTTTGCTTTCCTCTGTATCTTCACTCCCTGCTATCTGAAAGCTTTCCAGTGTCTTTCCTGGGCGAGATGACAGAATCAAGGGCCAAGTGATCTGGGATGGTTTCATAAGCTCACCCCCTTCTGGCCTTCTCTCATCCCAGGTGGTCCTGGAACCTGTCCCTGGGAGCTTTTCTCCCCCAAAGTGGTCCTGGGGACTGGAGGGAGGAGCCAGGGTTGCTGCCTCATTAACATATTCATCAACAGTAATCAGGGACCTGCTGTGATCAAAGCCCTCTGGAGGGAATTTGGAGGGTCAAGGCCAGGACTTCAAAGGACTGTAGCCTGAGGGGGGAGAGGGGAGAGGGAGGAGGAAGGATGAGGGATTAAGGGAGAAGGATGTCCTTAGAGAAAGGAATTTGTGTAGAAAAACCTTTGGTGTGGAAAAGCTGTTAGTAGTCCCCCTCCTCCTCCTCATCCTGATCTGGACAAACAAGACCCATCACTTCTGCCTCTGGAACCAACATGTCACATGGACCACTGGGGCTCCCAGGCAGGCTTTCAAGAGGAGGAACAATTTTCATTTTATTGTTTATGGGGTGTACTCTAGGAGTAAAAACATGACAAGCCTCTCAACTCTCAAGCCCATGACAGCTCAGATATTATGGCTTCACAGGAAGCTGAATACATTTATTTTATTTTATTTTTTTAGAGCAAAGGTGGAAATTTATTGAAGAACAAGTACAGACTCCCACGTGGGGAAGGAGAAGGAATCTCACAGCACAGACTCCCATGTGGGGAGCGGGAAAGAGTCCCCTTAAATTATGTGAAGAAAAATCTTAAGTAGTGATGAATATGGCAGGCGTTGGCATGTCCGTGGTGGGACTCTGGTCTAAACGGCTCTCAAGGCAGTCCCACCACTCCATCCTCCTCTATCCCTGCTGCAGCCTCTCACTTTCCCACCACCCTGTCCACCTGCCTACAGCATCTTCTAAGCCAGTGGTTCTCAACCTTCTGGCCCTTTAAATACAGTTCCTCGTGTTGTGACCCAGCCATAAAATTATTTTCGTTGCTACTTCATAACTGTAATGTTGCTACTGTTATGAGTCGTAATGTAAATATCTGATATGCAGGATAGTCTTGGGCGACCCCTGTGAAAGGGTCGTTCAACCGCCAAAGGGGTCACGACCCACAGGTTGAGAACCACTGTTCTAAGCCCTGCCTGGCTTCAAACTCTTCTGATGGCCATATGCCACATAAAAAAAAATGCTCCAAAACTCAGCAACATAAGACAATAAATACATTATCTCACACAGTTTCTGAGAGTCAGGCATCAGGGAACAGCATAGGTGGGTGGCTCTGGCTCAGGGATTCTTTCTTTTTTGTATAAGCAAGTAAATTACTTTTTAAATTGAGATGTAATTGACACATAAAATTATATTAGTTTCAGGTGTACAACATGATTCAATATTTGTATTTATTTATTTCAAAATGATCACCACAGTAAGTCTAGTTAACATCTATTACCACACAGTATTATTAACTACTAGAGGCCCAATGCACGAAATTTGTGCAAGAGTAGGCCTTCCTTCCCCCGGCTGCCAGCACCGCTTCCCTCTGGCACCCAGGACCCGGGTTTCCCTCACAGCCCCAGCTTCCTCTGGAAGATCATCCAGTCTAATTAACATATTACATTTTTATTATTATAGATAAGCCATGGCTCAGGGTCTCTTATGAGGCTGCAGTCAAGGTGACAGCCTGGGCTGCCATCATCTGAAGGCTTGACTGGGGCTGGTGGATCTCCTTCCAAGGTGTCACTCAAGTGAGTGCTGGCTGTCGACAGGCGGCCTTGGGTCTTCTCCACGTGGACCCTCCATAGGGCTGCTTGAATGTCCTCCCCACATGCCAGCCAGCTAGAACAAGGCAGAAGCCACAGTGTCTCTTATCACCCAACATTGGAACTCATATGCTACCACTAGTGCTATAATACATCAGCCACACAGACCAGTCCTGGTACAGTATGTGAGGGGACTACCCAGGGCATGAATACCAGGAGGTGAGGATCCTGGGAAACCATCTTTGAGGCTGGCTACCACACACCAGGAGCACCAGCTTGAGCCAGGCCAAGTGGGGTCCCTTCCTGGAGGGTGTCCCAGGCTCCCCATACACAAATGTATGCTATGGAGTCCCATTTCCCAGCAGTTGTGGCCATAGTGCCCTTTTGTAAAGGAAGGATCTGGAGCTACAAGAGATCTAAGGAATATACTTTGGAATACCTTGACGCAGAAAAGGAAGTCTAAACTCTGTGTTTTGTGTCCCTGCCTAGTCTAGCCCTTTCAATATAGCCTTTTGTCTCCTCCCTTCACTTTGAAATCTGTAGCCCAGTGACACTAACGCTCACACCTACTGCCATTTCTTATGCTGTCTGTTCTGCTCTTTTGTGGAGAAGACCCAAGGGTCCGCGAGGAGAAGACCTGTTGAGCTCTTATTCATCCCTCAAGGACCGGATAAAGGCCACCATCTCCATAAATCTTTCATCTCTCACAGAAAGAATTCATTTTCTTCTTCCTTTGCTTCTATAGTTTTTAATATAGTAACATCTTTTGCAAGGCACCTACCACTTTGTCTTGGGTTACAGCTCTCTGTCTTCCCTCCTCTTCCAGGCATTTAACTCCGGCCCCACTCAGTGCCATATGTTCAGTGCTTGGTACATCGTTGGAGTTCGGGAAATACCTGGTGAAAGGGGTCCTTCTCCTCTTGCTCTCACCTGGCCTTGCTTCTGAAAATAGTTTCTGGCGACCCAGGAGAAAGCCCTTGGCAAGGCCAGACCAAAAGATCCTCCTGCCCAGGGAGCCAGGGGCTGTCTTTCCCAAAGCAGGGAGGCAGGTCCCTCCACACCTGGAGAGGCGGCCCCTGCCTTCAGCCAAAGCCCAGATCCAGGCTGGGCAGACTAATGGCCCTGAGCCAGTTTGACGTCTCTGAGGGTCCGATGGATATCATCTCCCCGGCAATGCCACAAGCTCATGTGCACAGCCATGGACTGGGTTACAGTGGGCTATTTGTTCCAGAACCTCCTAACTGCCCCTTGAAGCCCTCAAGGGCGATCTCAGGAGCCTCTGGTCAGTAACATGGGTTGTTCATGCATTTGGTTTTGGAGATCAGCCTTTCAAAATGTGGGGCCCTGCCCTAACCGGTTTGGCTCAGCGGATAGAGCGTCGGCCTGCGGACTGAAGGGTCCCAGGTTCGATTCCGGTCAAGGGCATGTACCTTGGTTGCGGGCACATCCCCAGTGGGGAGTGTGTAGGAGGCAGCTGATCGATGTTTCTCTCTCATCAGTGTTTCTAACTCTGTCCCTCCTCCTCTCTGTAAAAAATCAATAAAATATATTTTTTTTAAAAAATGTGGGGCCCAAGGAAAAGCCTGGGAGGGAGCCTGGCTGGGACACCTTTGCTGCCACTGCCTGTTCCCAAGAGAGCAGGCTGAGTGACGTCGGGGCTAAGAGGCTCCTGCCTGGAACTGCAATGATCCTGACAAGCGCAGAACGGGCCCATCCAATTTATTCCTTGCCCAGAGTCTTGACAAGTCAGAGCCAAATCCTGGCCAGCCCCACTACCTGGCCAGAGGCGATGGGGTCCCCTCTGAGAGCACTTCCGGTGGCTTCCTGCTCCTCTCTTCCCACAGTGGCGTGGGCCTGGCACGAGCACATTTTGAGAAGCAGCCCCCCTCCAACCTCAGGAAATCCAACTTCTTCCACTTCGTGCTGGCCATGTATGACAGGCAGGGGCAGCCCGTGGAGGTGGAGCGCACGGCCTTCATTGACTTCGTGGAAAAGGACAGAGTGAGAGGCTCGTGGGCTCCGCGGGGACGGAGCACGGTGGGGGAGGGGCAGGAGGGCTTCAGGGATCCCCTCCCACCGGGGCAGATGAATGGATAGAGTGGAGAAGTAGAGAAGGGAGGTGGTGTGAATGGATGGAAGGGAGGGAAGAAGGTGGGCGTAGAGAGGGGGGCTGGGTGGGGGAATCCCTGGGAGCATCCTCCCCATCTCGGCCCTGTAGGAACCTGGGGCTGAAAAGACGAACAACGGGATCCATTACCGCCTCCGGCTGGTGTATAACAATGGTGAGTGAAGCCCACTGCACACTGGGTGCCAAAGCCCCACGACACAAAATACCCCGGTGCAGGGCTGAGGGGGCCCCTGCCTCCAGGTGGGGAGAGTGTGGAGTGTGCTCCAGTCATCAGAGGCCACGGTGCTCCCCATACAGCAAGCCCTCTCCACCTTTCCACCCTCAGGACTTCGGACAGAGCAGGACCTCTATGTGCGTCTCATTGACTCCATGTCCAAGCAGGTGAGCCAGCCCAGGGATGCTCTGGCCTTCTCGGACCCCCATCTCTGGGGGTGTGAGTGAGCATCCGCATCCCTGTCCCCACCTCCCCAATGGTCTGGCTCCCTCAGTGCTTACCCCAGTCTGTGTGGTCCTTGCCCTCTAGTCTAGAAAAAGGCAATATTTGTACAAAGATCTCATCCTAGGTCATGTTCCCTGGAAGCCCAGCCTAGACAGAGGGGTTCAGCTGTACAAGGTTTATTGGGGAGGCAGCCAGGGGCTCTCAGGAGAAGAGAGGGAGGGAAGCAGAACAGGGCAGGGGATGCTCAGCATGGATGGGGTCTCAGCTGCAGTCCAACCTCAGCCTGATCCCCAGGGAGCCCTGGAGAAGGAATGACAACAGAGTCGTCCCCCCTGAGGCAAGGAGGCCAGGATTCTGTATCCTGTATGAGTCGGTAATTGGCTGGGGAACACTCCCAAGGGGAGCCTGTAACCTTCCAGACATTTTCAGGCAAGGCAGCGCCTATGTATGAGAGCCAGCCTCCTAGCAGCCAACACTAACTGCAACTGAGGGGTGGGTGCACTGGGCCAGGAAAGGGGATGAGGTGGGGCCCAGAGCTCCTACTGCAGACCCTCAGCACCTGCTGATGTGGAAGGTCACGGGAAGGAGGCTCAGGGGCTCAGGAAGACTGATCCCTGAAGGAGCCCTGATGGGCTCTTGCTGAGGCAGAGCTGCAAGTCTTGCAGAGAAGTTGCGAGTGCACGTCAACAGGGAGCTGAGCTCACATGGGCCCATCAGTGGCCCTGAATGCCAGTGGACACTTGGGCTTTCCAGCAGTGCCTAGCCAATCCCAGGACAGAGGGAGAGATGGTTTCTTTCTGGAAACTCTGTGGTTGCCGTCATGGGGGGGGCAGACCAGGCAGGTAGTGACAAAGAGGGATTGTGTGGGGGTAAGTGTGGAAGCGGTTGTGGGGGAGTCGAGAGAAAGAAGGACCCCACAAGTGGGAGATGGCTGGGAGGCTCAGGGGTTATAAAGTGGGAAACTAGATTTGCAGTTTAGGAAGCTTACTCCTTGCTTCAGGGCAGAGGGTGGAAGTGGCCGGTGGGGGGGGGGCGCGCCGGGGGGGTGGGGGGGGACAGTGAGGAAACTGACCCAATAGTCCAAGGGGGAGGCCTGGCCTGGGCTGGGGAGGTGGTAAGGATGGGAGAGGGGGAGCCTGATTAACCAGCTAGGAAAGCCTAGAGGACAATGTTTGTGAGCAGAAGCAGAGGTCCACTAGGGCCATGGGAAGTGTGGGGATAAGCGTGTCTTCCCCCATCCCAGCCTGGCCTTGGTCCTTGGGGCCAAGCAGAGCTGGGCCTGGAAAGAGGTGCCTGTGGACAAACAGGATCTACAGAGTTCGTGCCACACTGTTGCCTGTCCTGGTGGTAATCCTGGTTTGGGGAGCCAGGCTCCCAGTTCCTGCTCTCACCCCTAGGCCCCCCGCAGAGTGGCTTGGAGGGTATGGTGTTCCGGGGGGCAGGGCCCATCCCTCCCCTGCACGGGGGCATAAGAGCAGCCTACAGCCACTTGAGCCTGTGCCCTTCCTCCCTCCCCCAGGCCATCATCTATGAGGGGCAGGACAAAAACCCGGAGATGTGCCGCGTGCTGCTCACCCACGAGATCATGTGCAGGTGAGAAGGGGGCCTCACTTGACCCTTGGCCGAGATTTTGTCAAGGACCCCCACCAGGCCCTGCCCACTGCCACTGCCACCACCGCCCTCCTTGCTGCTCCCTGGGAAAGCCTGGGGGGCGGGGGCGATGAGGGAAGAGGGAGGCCCCTGGGCACAGTGCTGGCTGAGGAGAGGGTCCTTGAGGCCCCATTAACCTGGCCTGTTTATGTGGCTTCTCCAAGTGTTTTTGTAAGAGAAGCCTCCAGCCGCTGCTGGGAAGCTTAACTAATAAAGCTCTGGGGAGGGCTCTCTGGGGGTGTGGGGGCAGGGCCTGGGCCTCCTGGATTCCCTCCAGGGCAGGAGAGGAAACTTTGCTGCCTCCTGCTTGACCCGGGGCACTTCCTGGGTGGGGCAGGTGGGGAGTGGGAGGCACATGGCTCCCCTTCCCCATCACCACAAGGCGTGGCATTTCCAGGCAAGGTCTCCCCAGGAGATGCCAGTTGGACAACGTCAGTTCCTCATACACGGAAAAAAGAATACAATGTTCAAAAATCGGGTTGGATAAAAAACTTAAATTAGAAAAAAAAAAGATTTTAAAAAAATGTGCTTGGGATGATGGCTGCCTCTGGGAAGAGTAGTGACGTGACAAGGAGGGGGCTCCAGAGGCTTCTGGGGCACTGAGCTCTACGTGGTGTTTCTTGTCAGGGGCTGGTTACATGGGCAGGTTCACCCTGTGACGATTCCTGAGCTGCTTGCTTACCAGCTGAGCTGTCTCTGTATGCGTCCTCCAGCAGCAGCATACCTTAGGGACAAGGTTTCCCTGCCAACCTTATCCCCTGGGCTGGGCTCTCCAGGTCCCTGTGGCAGGACCCTCACTGCCTTTCTCCCAGGTCCCTGGGAGTGAGCCCCTCTGGCCCTAGGATTCCAGACACACACACACACACACACACACACACACACACACACACACACTGTAATCTCCCTCTCCTTCACTCCCTTTCTCCTTCCTTCCTTCTCCATCTTTCCATCAGCCGGTGCTGTGACCGGAAGAGCTGTGGCAACCGGAATGAGACACCCTCAGACCCCGTCATTATTGACAGGTACAGCTCGGGGAGGCCGGGAGCTGCAAGGCCTGGGCAGCCTGGGCTCAGTCACAGAGTGGTGGTGGCTCCAGGGAGGGATGGAGCTGCCACCCCCTCTTCCACGCCATGTTGGTGGCTCTCAGTAGAAAAAGAAACTGTCAGACACCAGGGAGCCGCCAGCCATGGCCCCTGAAGGAAACCGAGGTGGCAAACTTTCTGGGGCTGGGCTTAGGAGCTGTGTTCCCTGAGGGAGCCTGGGAAGGGGAAGGGAGGGAGGGCAGGTGGCGGGAAGGTGGGTTGGGGGGTGGGGAGTGGAGTAGGATGTGAACTTGCAGCAGAGAGAGGCTGGGAGAATGAAGGGACTGGAGTGGGCAGGGCAGGGAAAGCTGGGTTCCAGTCCAGGTGCCACCTGTGCACTGTTTGACTTGACTCCTCTGAATATCCCTTTCCTTCGTTTGAAAACTGGAGAAATACTTGACAGGTTTCAAGGATTGCCAAGGTGATGCATATAAGCATTTATTCTTGCCCTAGCCGGTTTGGCTCAGTGGATAGAGCGTTGGTCTGCGAACTGAAAGGTCCCAAGTTCGATTCCGGTCAAGGGCACATGCCCAGGTTGTCTGCTCAATTCCCAGTGAGGGACTTGCAGGAGGCAGCCGATCCATGATTCTCTCTCATCATGGATGTTTCTATCTCTTTCTCCCTTTTCCTTCCTCTCTGAAATCAATAAAAATATATTTAAAATTTTTTTTAATTTATTCTCCAACCATGATTTTTAAAAATTATTTTTTTTGAATAGGAAGTAATATATAAGGTAAAAAATTAAAAAGGTATTACAAAAGAGTAAATAATGAAAAGTAAGTCTGCCCCCACTGCTATGTATACCATGCTACACACACTCTTTTGTATTTTACCTTTTTAAAAAGAACTATAACATATATACAGGGTGGGGCAAAATTAGTTTTAGAGTACGTGAGATACAGAGTTTATTCTTGCGTTATTTATTAATTATTATATTATTTCCTATATGAAGCTACTTTTGCCTCACCTTTTATATCTTAAAAGTCATTCCAGCCCTAACCTGGGGACTGAAGGGTCCTGGGTTCGATTCCCGGTCAGGGCACATGCCTGGGTTGAAGGCTTGATCCCCAGTAGGGGGCGTGCAGGAGATAGCCGATCAATGATTCTCTCATCATTGATGTTTCTATCTTTCTCTCCCTCTCCATTCCTGTCTGAACTCAATAAAAATGTATTTTTTTAAAAAATAAAAAGTTATTCCATATTGGAACATAAACCCTGCCTTGTTCTTTTAATAGATAAAACATTCACAAGGTACAGATTTTCAAATTGAAAAGGATTTATAGTAAAGTCTCCTACCTCTGCCTCTGATCCATCCATCGCCCTCCAAATAAGCAATCACTGTTAGCAGTTCTTGTGTATCCTTCCCGAAATAGTCTGTGCATGCACAAGAAAATACAGATATATGTTATTTTGCACCTTTCCCTTTATTTTTATAAAAAGGTGGCAAATTAAATGTACTTTCAGCACCTTCCTAAAAAGTGGGCACATGGCAGTGTACCTACCTGGAAGCTTATATCAGCACACGAGAAGTTTCTTCATTCTTTTTGTGCTACTGTAAAATATTCTATTGTATGGATAAACTGAAATTTTCTTTAAATGGTCTCTATTTTGGCTGTTTTCTTTCTTTTTCAGGGATAAAATATGCTGCAGTGAATTACTTTGTGTCATTTTGCACATGTATGAATTTTATGAAAGATACTAGAGGCCCGTTGCACGAAGAGATTCGTGCAATAGGCCTTCCTTTCCCCTGGCTGCTGGCACCAGTTTTCCTCTGGCACCCGGCACCCAGGCCTTCACTCTGGCCGGGCTCCAGCCGGCGGCGCAGTGAAGCCTCACGGCCCCGGGGCCGGCAGCACTGCTCTGGCCCCCAGGCTGTCAGGCTTCGCTCCACCACTTGGAACCTATGTATGCAAATTAACCGCCATCTTTGTTAGGTTAATTTGCATACTCTCCTAATTGGCTGGTTAGCATAGCGAAGGTACGGTCAATTTACATGTTTGTCTATTATTAGGTAAGACTAGAGGCCCGGTGCACAAAAATTCATGGACTCGGGGGTGGGGGGGTCCCTCAGCCTGGCCTATGCCCTCTTGCAGTCTGGGACCCCTCAGAGGATGCCCACCTGCTGGCTTAGGCCTGCTCCCTGGGGGATCGGGCCCAAGCTGGCAGTCAGACATCCCTCTGGCAGCCCAGCAGCCCTTGGGGGATGTCCACTTGCCAGTGGGGAGCAGGCCTAAGCTGCAGTCGGATATCCTTAGTGCTGCTGAGGAGGTGGAGAGGCTCCCACCACCACCACTGTACTGGCAGCCATCAGCCTGAGTTGTGGCTGAGCAGAGCTCCCCCTGTGGGAGCACACTGACCACCAGGGGGCAGTCCTGCATTGAACATCTGTCCCCTGGTGGTCAGTGTGTGTCATAGTGACCAGTCATTGCCAGTTGTTCTGCTGTTAGGGTCAGTTTGCATATTACCCTTTTATTATATAGGATAGAGACCTGGTGCACGGGTGGGGGCCAGCTGGTTTGCCCTGAAGGGTGTCCCGGATCAGGGTTGGGGTCCCGCTGGGGTGCCTGACCAGCCTGGGTGAGGGGCTGATGGGTGTTTGCAGGCTGGTCACACCTCCTTCAGGGTGAGGGTCCCCACTGGGGTGCCTGGCCAGCCTGGGTGAGGGGCTGATGGCTGTTTGCAGCTGGTCACACCCCCTTTAGGGTGGGGGGTCCACTGGGGTGCCTGGCCAGTCTGGGTGAAGGGATGAGGGCCGTTTTCAGGCTGGCCAAGCCCCCTGGCGAGGGAAGCTCCCAGCCTCTCCTTTTTTTTTTATTCTGGGATTTATTTACCTTCTATTATTGAAACTTTGTGGCCTTGAGAGGAGCTCAGAGCCGGCCAGGGCAGGCAGGAGGGAAGCCTCCTGCTCGCTCCAGCTCCATGGCCACGGCCGGCTGAAAGCAGGTATCTGAGGTTTATTTATCTTCTATAATTGAAACTTTGTTGCTTTGAGTGGAGCTCAGAGCCAGGCCGTGGCAAGTGGGAAGCTTGGCTTCCTCCATCATTGGGGCAACCAAGCCTCCTGCTTGCTCCAGCTCCATGACTGCCAGCCGCCATCTTGGTTAGGTTAATTTGCATCTAGTCACTCTGATTTGCTGGCGGGCGTGGCTTGAGGCATAGTGGAGATACGGTCAATTTGCATGTTTGTCTTTTATTAGTGTAAATTACGAAAAGTAGAATTGCTGGGTCAAAGGATAGGTGCATTTGTAATTTTGATAGTTGTTGCCTGTTTACCCTCTGTAGAGATGATACCGATTGGCATTCATACCAATAATTTTGAGAATGCCTGATCTCCACACTCTTGCCAATTATGTATGTTGTTTATTCATTCAACAAATAATTTTTTAAAATATATGTTTATTGATTTCAGAGAGGAAGGGAGAGGCAGAGAGAGATAGATACATCAATGATGAGAGAGAATCATTGATCAGCTGCCTCCTGCACGCCCCCTACTGGGGATCGAGCCTGCAACCCAGGCGTGTGCCCTGACTGGGAATCGAACCCTGACTTCCTGGTTCATAGGTTGATGCTCAACCACTGAGCCACACCAGCTGGGCAACAAATAATTTTTTAACATCTACTCTGTGCCAGAGTGTCTTCTATAAGCTGTGGATTAAGCAGTGATGAAAATAGACAAAAAGCTTTGTGTTCATGGGCTTACGATCTAATAGGTGAGATAGACATGAGCTGAGTGGATAAAACGCATAGCATGTGAAGTGGCGATAACAGCTAAGGAGAAAAAGAGCCACCAGGAGAGGTCAGAGAGTGCCCAGGAAGGGAGTGTTGAAGTTTTAGATTATGGAAGGAAGGCTTCCCTGAAAAGAAGACATTTGAGCCAAGACCTAAAGAAAGTAAGGGAATGAGCCATGTATGAATCTTGGGGGTGGGGCGGAGAATGCTCCTGGCAGGAGTGTACCTGGTGTGTTTAAGGAACAGCAAGATGGCCCAGGTGACTGGAGGAGGTGAAGTCAGAGAGTTAATGGTGGGGCAGGAGGAAGGCAAGTCCATGCAAGGCCTTGTAGGTTGCATGTGGGCCATGTGTATAGGCCCTTGTAAGGACTTTGGCTTTTATTCTGAATGATGTGGAAGCCATTGGGGGATTTTGAGAAGAGTGATATGACCTGGTTTATATTTCAGCAAGGCCGCTCTAGCTCCTGTGTTGAAGATGACCTGTAGGAGGCGAGGGAGGAAGCAGGGAGATGCTTTTGGAAGCCATTTCAGTTTTCCCGATAGAGATGATGGAGGCTGGTAAGACCAAGGATGTTATTAGAAGAGGTTGTAAGAAGTGGTTAGATCCGGGATGTATTTCACAGGCAGAACTGACAAGGTGTGTTATGAAATGAGAGACAAAGTTACAGAGAGAAGTCAGTGGTGTCGCCAAGGTTTCTGATGTGTACAACTTAGAAAGAACTTTTGTTTACTAAGAAGGAGGAGATTTCAGGGGGAGCAGGTTTGGGAGGAGGAAAATCGGGAGTTTGGTTTTGGATGTGTTCTGTTTAAGATGGGAATGTTGAAAAGCAGCTAAAAACATGAGTATGGCCCGACCCAGCTTGGCTCACTGGTTGAGCGTCGACCTATGAACCAGGAGGTAACGTTCAGTTCCTAGTCAGGGCACATGACCAGATTTCGGGCTCAATCCCCAGTGTGGGGCATGCAGGAGGCAGCCGATCAATGAGTCTCTCTCATCATTGATTTTTTTTTTTATCTCTTTTCCTCTCTGAAATCAATGAAAATATATTAAAACAAAATAACAACAACACCTGAGTATAACTCTTTTTTTTTTTAATATATTTTATTGATTTTCCACAGAGAGGAAGGGAGAGAGATAGAGAGTTAGAAACATCGATGAGAGAGAAACATCGATCAGCTGCCTCCTGCACATCCCCCACTGGGGCAGTGCC